AAGCGTTGTTGGATATTCCATAATATTGATCAAGATCCATCAAATTCAATAATAAATCTATTTTAACTAAATTTCCTGGATTCCTGGAGCTTCGTAGTGTTGCTTTATAGCCTCATGTTGCTTTATAAGGTCTGCGCCGACAGGAGTCTCTGACAGTTTGCAAACTGTTAGTAAGCATCGCCCATACATGTTTTCAATGCTGTCGTTACAAGATAAATCTGTAACTCAGCTGAGTGATTGTTTTTGACAGGTTGCAAACTATCAGAGACTCCTGTGGGAACAGACCTATAGTCTCGGAAGCTACCTACCTTATGATTTTTATTTAACTTTTTTTCTATTATATGTATATAGAAAGCTGAAATTTTTAATGATTCTTATACCAGTAAAGGACTACAATCTCTGAAAATTTCAGCTAATTTGGACTTATAGTTTCAGAAATAAAATCGTGTTGAGCCATTTGGAGTAAATTTATTATTTTTCAATTTTTCTGAGTTCCCTTTTTCACAGATTCCGGCTTCAAATCTCAAAATAATTTAGTGTATGGAGTTTTGGGGTTCCGAATGATCAGTGAGACACAAAATCTCAACATAAAAAAATTTGCGATTTCACTATTTTAGTACTAAGGTAGCAGCTCCCTTATGATTTGTATTTTTGAAAACTTTGAAAAAACATAACTTTTTTTCTATTATAGATAGAAAGCTGAAATTTTCAGCGATTTTTATCCCAGTAGAGAATTAAAATCCCTAAAAATTTCAGCTCATTTGGACTTATAGTTTAAGAAATAAAATCGCGTTAAGCAATTTGGGGTGATTTATCAATTTTTCAATTTTCCTGAGTGCCTTTTTTCATAGAAACTGGCTTCAAATCTCAGAGTAGTTTATTGTATGAAGTTTGGAGGATCCCAAAGAACCATTAGGACACAAAATCTCAAAAAAAAAACATGAACCTTATGATTTAGATTTTGGAAAACTTTGAAAGGTCATAACTTTTTTTCTATTAAAGATAGAAAGCTGAAATTTTCAGCGATTCTTATCCCAGTAGAGCACCATCAGAGCCGTAACTAGACCTGTTTGCGCTTATGGTAGGTTATTAATTTGCGCCCCCTCCCCATATCCAATGGGTGCGTTCCAAGGGCTACAACCGTTGAGACCGCTTAGTGAGCGTAACGTTCCAAGTGCCGTAACCTTGAAAGCTCAGTCTCAGCGGCTGGCTATTTCGCTGAGCGGAAAAATTCTACGCTCACCGCCGTCAAAACAGTTGTGACATGCGCACAGCTGCTGTTTTTGTTTTTCTGGACATAACCTCACTTTAATTTCCGGGTTTTGTGGCAGTCGGCAGTAGTGTTGAACTAATTCCTCCATTCTAACAGCTCTTCAACAGCATAAAAGTGGCACCAAGCCAAACAAGTAACTAATAATAAAATAAATTACCATACCGACAACCTGTAAACAAAAACAGCTGTAAGGATAACTGACAGTAAGCGCCGAAAAATTAAGCGGAGCGTTGCAAGTGCTCACAACTGTTGAGTGTGAGCACAGCCTCCTACAGGTTAAGTGTAGGAGGCTGTGGTGTGAGCCTTTTCCTGCTCAGTTCAGCAGCTTAGTCACGTAGAACGCACCCAATGTCACACCACAAATGATGATTTTTGAAATTTTATATTTAAACAAGAAAAGTAACTGATGTACAAATTTCTGTTTCATTTGACGTTAGTAAAATAGCAGCATCAAAAACTCAAAATGTAAAGTATCACTCAATACAGGTGAAGTGATGGAACAAGTGGAAGTATATATTGCTACATTTGTTAATTCTTCCTGTACTAAAGTGGAACGAGTGGTACTAATATGACATTATATTGACTTTACAGACAGGACCAGGCTACTAGACACATAGGCTTCAATGAGACCAGTTCACTGATGCCCTGATACCCACGAACCCACGTCACTGCACGATAAGCTGCAGGCTATTGAAATTCGTGCTTAGCTTGGACAGCTCGGCAATACTCGGCTTCGGCAGCACCGCCTCGATTTGCTGAGACCGGTTATATAACTAATTCGTCTTATTATTTCCTATGTATCTAGTAGGCTGCTCCAGTCTGTATAGGCTTTAACTTATTGAAGGAACGAGGAGTCAAATTATCAAGCAGTCGCCTTGGAATTTTGAAAATTTTATTTCTACAGTTAACTCAAACGCAAACGCGTTCAAATATTCTGGATTTTTATTTGCCAAGTCTAAAGCTTTTTTTTTCAACCTTCTAGCACTCTCGATAGCACGACCACTGAGAAAACCAAAGTCAGCTGTCACAGTATTAAGAGTCACAAATGTTTTCCGAATCTGTGTTATAATAATTGTATGAATGATTTGCAAGAGTTCAATTTCCATATGTGTTTTGGAATCAAAAAGATGAGCCTCACCAGGCATATTTGGCTTCTTTTTTCTTCTGGGTTGTTCTAGTACCATATCAATATCTATTTTGCTGTATAAGTATAAATTGCGGATAGCGCTCTTTAAAGTTTTGGTGTGCTGCGCAACAGGCTCTTTACGCTTGTACAATTACTGACAGATTGCGCTCTTCTGAAGCTTGCGCCCGTGGCAAATGCCATCCTTCGCCACGCCTTAGTTATGGCACTGTAGAGCACTACCATCCCTGAAAATTTCAGCCCATTTGGATTTATAGTTCCAGAAATAAAATCGTGTTAAGCAATTTGGGGTGATTTATCAATTTTTCAATTTTTCTGAGTGCCTTTTTTCATAGAATCCGGCTGCAAATCTCAGAATAATTTAGTGTCTGGAGTTTGGAGGATCCCAAAGGACCATTAGGATACAAAATCTCAACAACAAAAAAAATTGAAATTTCATCGTTTTAGTGAGAAGGTACCTACCTTTTGATTTAGATTTTGGAAAACTTTGAAAGGTCATCACTTTTCTTCTATTGAAGATAGAAAGGTGAAGTTTTCAGCGATTCTTACCCCAGTAGAGCTATACAATCCCTGAAAATTTCAGCCCATTTGGACTTATAGTTCCAGAAATAAAATCATGTTAAGCAATTTGGGGTGATTTATCAATTTTTCAATTTTTCTGAGTGCCTTTTTTCATAGAATCTGGCTCCAAATCTCAGAATAATTTAGTGTATGGAGTTTGGGAGATCCCAACGGACCATCAGGACTCAAAATCTCAACAACAAATAAAAAAAATGAAATTTCATCGTTTTAATAAGAAGCTACCTTATTTTTAGATTTTGGAAAACTTTGAAATGTCATAACTTTTTTTTTATTAGAGATAGAAAGCTGAAATTTTCAGCGATTCTTATCGCAATCCAGGATAACAATGGGCTGAAAATTTCAGCCCATTTGGACTTATAGTTTCAGAAATAAAATCACGTTAACAATTTGGGGTAAATAAATTTATTATTTTACAATTTTTCTGAGTGGCTTTTTTCATAGATTTTGGCTTCAAATATCAGAAAAATTTAATTTAGAGAATTTGGAGGTCCCGATGATCATTTAGACACAAAATCTCAACACAAAAAAAATTGAAATTTCATCACTTCAGCACTAAGTTAGCTGTCTCATGATTTGTATTTTTGAAAACTTTGAAAAATCATAACTTTTTTTCTATTACAGATAGAAAGCTGAAATTTCCAGCTATTTTTATCCCAATCAAGGACAACAATCTCTGAAAATTTGGACTTGAAGATTCAAATTTCACAATATGTTATTGTGTGGAGTTTGAGGGGTCCCAAAGGATCACTTAAACACAGAATCTCTCAACATAAAAATCGAGTTTATAGCCTATGAAAAATCATAGCGACAATAAACTGTGAGAATTTTGTTGCTTTCTAAATCTAGAGATTTATAAAACGAATCTCTTTTGTACTTTCCATTAAAATTTTTTTGTTTGAGAAACTCACATGACTAAATCCCTTGCCAAAATTGTATTTATAAATTAAAACGCGTCCACAACCTATAGAATATTATTTCCATTGCATTCACCCAAAAGCACCATCAGGAGCAGTAAAATTTTATCTATTGCTCAGAGGAATAGGAAAATTTACATAAACGCTGCATTATTTTTGTCCATTCTGAATGGAACGAAATTCAACAATGTCGCCCACTGTGGCACTAAATTGCGGCGATTGTGCCTTACTAACGTTTCAAAAAGGAACAATTTGAATAAATAGATTTCTCCTGAGAATAACGTACGACTGTGTATGTGCTGATTGTAATATATAATCCAGATTGGCAAGTTATTTTGGATTTTCTCCTTGAAGATTTGTGGAAACACAATTAAAAAGAAATAGTGATTTATCCCGTCGAATAAAGGATAGCCTGTTCAATTTAAGCCTGTTGTCTATTCTGTTGATGCGGAGATGGGATTGCAAAAAAGAAAAGATAATAGAATGAGTTGGATTTAGAAAAGGGGTGGATTTTTCCTCGAAAAGTCGAAACACACAGACATCTTTTTAAATGAATTCACATCAGGGATGTTAATTTGGATGTTAAGCAATCAAATCAGACATTTCTCAGACTTTTCACTCCCCTTGAAAATAAATTATCAGTCTAAACGTGTGCAATTTCCAGATGCTTTTATTATTCAAATTTTTCGTAATTTTATCTGTTATCTTGTTTAAAGGGGAAAAAGTGCCTTGTGAAGGGTAAAACGCAAAAGGAATACAAAAAAAACTTTCCCTTATGATCACTTTTCTTTAAATGCCAATTTTCTTTTATCTTTTTCATGTAATTCTACGTATGTACAAGAAACGCAACTGCTATGCAATTTAGCAATTCTCCGGCTTACTATATACTTGGAAAAGTGCAAACAACTTTATTTACACCTTTGCTCTCCGTTATTTACTATTACGAAATGAAATTCTCGACATTCTTTGCGGGTACGTATTCGGCCTGAATATTATACAAATTTGTTTAGTTGGTACATACAAGAGAAATTGGATTTTGTTTATACGAGAGAATTTGATATAAATTAAGTTATAGTCCAATAATTACCTTATAGATCCCATCGACCAATTTTATTAGTTCTTCGGTCTCCATTGTAAAGTTTCTCGGATAGCTCAAGAAATAGTTCAATCACATGCCAGTTTGGACTCTAGACACTTCACTAGAACACTGAAAATCTGAAAACAAAATTGCAAATGTTAATAAAACCCAATGTGTGGTAATAAATAGCAATAACGCGCAGTAAATAGGAAATATTATCGATACATATTACTAGCTACTTTGTCGATATAAACTAAACCGATTGATCACCATTTGATAAAATGAGCTCAATATTTGAGGCATGAAATATATACCATATATTGGCAAAAAGGGGGAATAACTTTTAGGTACATTTATTATAAATTATTAAGGGCCAGGTTATGATGCGGCCGATAAATTTCCTATCGTTTTTAATTGAAATCGAACCCCGAAAACCATAAAGATATTTTAGTAATTGCAAATTGGTAACCATCAGACTGGACGTTTGTTTGCCCATTAAACGCAACGTTTAACCGCCTGCAACTGCGTATCCAATAATTATGTTCGCAAATATTCCGTGGTATTTTATGGGTAGCTGGTCGTTCGATAAACACCAATGCGAATTCGGTATCGGAAAATTTGGAAAAAATTTGTTTTGGTTGCAGTTATTTACATACTCCAAATAGGCTAGTAAAACTAGGTGGGTAACCCTATACAAATTCGCTACAAGCTGATTTTTGCGCCATTGTATTCCTTTCAGTGTTTTTTATAATGGGTTAAAAATCCCGAAAAATCCGATAAGGGGCGCAACCCCAAAACCACCCCCAAAGGTACATTTTTTAGGCTAGTCGGAATTTTCTCAAAAACGGTAAGTTTAAAAAAAAAAGTACAAGGCACATTTTTTGTGGAGTACAAAATTTCGAATCAAGTGGTATACCCATTTGTATTATTTATAGAGGTTTAAGTGTTGATACAGGCCCTATTTATTTAAGTGAGAAACACCAATAAAATATTTCGTTTTTGGTATTTATTTGTTTCCGATTTCTAATTAGCTTAAAAATTTAATTTTTTAATTAGGTATCCCGGCTTTTGATTGGCTTAAAAATTCAATATTTCTAAATTTCCGGCTCTTGATTTGCTTTGAAATTCAATTTTCAAATATTCCCGGCTCTTGATTAGCTCAATTTGACGTTTAAAAATTTCATGTTCGAATATTTCCGGTTATTGATCGACTTAAAAATCAATTTTTTCAATTTTCCCGGCTTCTGATTGGCCTATAAATTCAATATTTTTAAATTCCCGGCTCTTGATTGGGTTTAAAATTCAATTTTCAAATATTCCCGGCTCTTGATTGGCTTAATTTGACGTTTTAAAATTCAATGTTCGAATATATACGAATCTTAATTGGCTCAAAAATTCAATTTTCCCGGCTTCTGATTGGCTTAAAAATTCAATATTTGTAAATTCCTTGCTCTTGATTTGCTTTAAAAAATTGAATTTTCAAATATTCCCGGCTCTTGATTAACTTAATTTTACGTTTAAAAACTTAATGTTCGAATATTTCCGGTTATTGATTGGCTTAAAAATCAATTTTTTTCATTTTCCGGGCTTCTGATTGGCTTAAAAATTCAATATCTGTAAATTCCCGGTTCTTGTTTGCTTCAAAATTCAATTTTCAAATATTCCCGGCTTTTGATTGGCTCAATTTGACATTTCAAAATTCAATGTTCGAATATTTCCGATTCTTAATTGGCTTAAAAATTCAATTTTTTAATTTTCCTGGCTTTTGATTGGTTATAACAATAAATATTTCGAGTTGTTAACATTAGTTAAGTAATATAAGCACATGTCACTAAGTAAGGCCAATACAAATTTAAATCTTACTTTTTTTATGTTTTTATACTCTTGAGCTTATGTAACTGATAAAGTATGTTATACCAAAAAATTGCAAATTTTGTGCTCTACAAAAAAGGTTTCCTGCAAATTTTTCGAAAAACTTGTTGATTTTAAGAAAATTGCAAAAAACTCAAAAAATTTACTTTTGGGGGTGATTTAGGGGCTGCGCCGCATATCGGATTTTTTAGGATTTTTAGCCAGTTATATAAAACCTCAAAAGAAACAAAATGGCGTAAAAATTAGCTTGTAGCGAATTTGTTTGAGGTTCAGCACAAAATAAGCCTAGTTTTACTAGCTAAAATGAAATCTGGAATAGAATGGTCAAAATATACCTATAGAATCAAACTATAACTCAAAGTATCCAGATAAAGACTACTATACAAATAAGTGGATTATTGCGGAACTTATGGGTGGACCTCTGCGGGTCGAGCGCAGCGAGTTCCGCAGCCATCTACTCACCAATATACTGTTGAACTGTTCAAATAAGACACTCTTCTGAAACGTGTAGTTTTTGAACTAATGAGAAAAATTCACAACTGAGTGAATCAGGTTAGTATTGTACTTGAACAACATATTGGTGAATAGATGGCTGGGTCCACCCATAAGTTCCGCAACAATCCACTCATTACTAATTCCTGTTGAAAGACGAATTGACAAAAAGTGGATAATCTTACAAATTCTGACTTTATATAATAAGTTATTTTTCAAGTACAAATAAGTGGATTGTTGCGAAACTTATGGGTGGACCTCTGCGGGACGAGCGCAGCGAGTTCCGCAGCCATCTACTCACCAATATACTGTTGAACCGTTCGACTACGACATTCATCTGAAACGTGTAGTTTTTGAACTAATAAGAATAACTGATAGTTGAGTGAGTCAGGTTAGTATCGTAATTAAACAACATATTAATGAATAGATGACTGCGGAACTCGCTGCGCTCGTCCCGCAGAAGTTCACCTATAAGTTCCGCAACAATCCACTCTCTTCTACTTGAATAACTTGTCACATTATGTTACTAGTTTGGTAAAGTAACATTACTATTGCCTGTTGAAAGGCGAATTGACGAAAAGTGGATAATCTTACAAATTCTGACTTTATATAATAAGTTATTGTTCAAGTACAGGGTGTTTTTTTATATATTGACACTTCACCTACAGCCTTCACCTTTACAAGTGATGAAAGGTGTAAATACAAAACTTGTACCTACAGTATTGGCTAAATTATGAGAATACATGGTCAGAAACAAAAATTGAATGTCAGAAATGTGAAATGTTGCATGCTTTCAACTTTTTTCAAATGGGATACCCTATATTTGGTTCTATATTCTTGAAGATCACAATTTCTCGATTTCAAAACTATACAGGGTGGTCCTTCGGGAATGACATCGATTGCTTATGGGAAAACTGTGAAAGGTAAAAATTTGAAAATTTGGCAACATAGCAATGTCGATGGGGGACATCCAGGTAAAATATTTTCAAGATGGCGGCATTTCCGGTCATACCGGAAGTTGATACCAACTCGGTTATTTTAAATAGAACACCCCATATATTAATGTATTTTTGGATTCTACATAAAATTCTGAGCAGATTTCATGTAATATACCCTATACCTAAGTTCAACTGTTTTGGAAATATTGACAGTTGAAAATTGACTTTTTGCAACTTTGACAGGCTGTAAAACCTGAACAATTAATTTTAGAGGAAACCCGATTTGACATTCCTATCTTAGATTTTTATAAACTATCATTTGACATCAACTTTGAATTAAATCCATGATTAAAAATTTCAGTTAAATTTAATCTCCGTTTAAGTTCAAAGTTGGTGTCAAATGATAGTTTATCAAAATCTAAGATAGGAATGTGAAATAGGTTTTCCTCTAAAATTAACCAATTAGGTTTTACAGCTTGTCAAAGTTGCAAAAAGTCAATTTTCAACTGTCAATATTTCCAAAACAGTTGAACTTAGGTATAGGGTATATTACATGAAATCTGCTCAGAATTTTATGTAGAATCCAAAAATACATTAATATATGGGGTGTTCTATTTAAAATAACCGAGTTGGTATCAACTTCCGGTATGACCGGAAATGCCGCCATCTTGAAAATATTTTACCTGGATGTCCCCCATCGACATTGCTATGTTGCCAAATTTTCAAATTTTTACCTTTCACAGTTTTCCCATAAGCAATCGATGTCATTCCCGGAGGACCACCCGGTATAGTTTGTCTATATTTGGTTGAGCCGTCTACAACATATTTGGTTCTAAAAATTTTATAAATACTATCAGAGAAACCAAGTATCTCAAATTTTACATGCAGCTTTTACCTGTACAGGTGAATGGTTCACAAAATCAGTAGTAGTATAGTATTTTTACAATTTTTGGAGCCGAATATATGAGAGACTGTTCAATCAAATAAAGACAAACTATATATTTTTGGCAGTGTTGCCAGAGGTGGTACAATAATTGTACCAGGTTTGAAAAAGTACGCTGGTACGACGTTGGCATATTTGGTACAATTTTAATTTTTTTCATTTTTTCCAATATCTCAAAGAGTCTTCCTACTGCCTACTTAGTCCAATGTCGATGTTCTAATCAACTTGTATTTCTGTATCCAACCAAATTCAATATAACAATAATTTTTAATTTGTAAATAGATGGCGCCACCAATGTAACACTCGTTTTGTAGTTTTTTGTTGACGTAGTTTGTGTTTAGTTTAGGTTTTCGGCAGAAAATAAAGAAAACTTAAAGCCTCGTACTTTAAATCGGTTTTCCTGATCGGAAAAGTGGAAAATCCAATGAAAACCCATTGAAAAATGACATTCCAAAGCCTACTTGATGAAACTTAAGTTTTTGTTACCCGTTGAAAAACTCAAAATTTTTGATATAAAATGAAGGATACTCAATGCTTCGTACTTTAAATCGATTTTCCCGATCGAAAACAGCTCGGAAAAGTGGAAAATTCGAGGAAAAACTTGATAAAAATGTAAACACGTCAAATAAAAATGGCCGACTGTCAAAAATGACAAATCATACTTATTACAAGGCCTCCTTGATTGAAGTTAGCCACAAGCGGTGTTGCCACATCAAAAGCATTTTAAATGGAATTTTGCTAGTTATGGCATTTAAAAGTGGAAATTTTTGCTAGACAATGAAGAAAACTCAAAGCCTCGTATGTTAAATCGCTTTTTTCCATTAAAAATCCCCAGAAAAGTCGAAAATTCGAGGAAAAACTAGCAAAAAATCACAAGCCGTCACTTCAAAAT